AAATCAAAAGATTCCTGGAAACAAATGAAAATGAGTTCATGAGCTACCAGAACTTGTGGGACACAGCTAAACCAGTGTTAAGAAGAAAGTTTATAGCTCTGTAAGTGTTCATCAGAAAGGAAGGAAGGATCCACGTAAATAATGAGATTTCAAGGCTTAAACTCTTAGAAAATTACTGCAAAAAATGAGCCCAAACCAATAAAATAAAGATCAGAAATTGACAAGAGCAGAAACAGACTCACACAGAAAGAGAGAAACCTAATAAACTGAATCAGAAATGAAAATGGTAACATCACAACAGAAACCACAGAAATTTTTAAAAAATCCTTAGAGATTATCTGAGAGTCTGTCACGAAACAAGAGAACCGAGAAGAAATGGATAAATTCCTAACTTTCCAGGGCTGAACCAAGAAGACTTGGAATACCTAATTAAGTATACATATCATTATCAAGGATATTGAAATAGTAATCAAAAATCTTCCCACAAACAAAAGCTCAGGTTCAGATGGATTTACTAGTCAATTTTTTCAAATTTTTAAAGTGGACCTGGGCTGCAGTGATAGTACAGTGGGTTGGGTGTCTTGCACATGTCCAACCCAGGTTCAATTTTCAGCATCCCATATGGTCCCCCGAGAGCAATAAATAAATAAATAAATAAATAAATAAATAAATAAGACATATTGCCAGTCTTTTCAAGCATCCCCCAAAAACTGAAGAAACAGAAACACTCCCAAACAGTTTCTATCAGGCACATATTACCCTAATACTAAAAGCAGACAGAGACAAAACAAAACAAGAAAATTACAGGTCGATATCCCTGATGAACAAAAATATAAATATCCTCAAAAAAATTCCTAACAAATAGAATAAAACTCATCAAAAAGTCACCATGACCAAGTGGAATTCATCCTGGGGATGCAAGGATTGTTTAACATTAACAAGTCAATCAACACAATTTATCATATCAGTCACTTGTATCACTTGTCATTCCTTGATCATTGATTTGCTCAAGGGGATGCCAGTAACACTTCTATACATTCTGGTCACATCCTAGTGTAGCCAAATGGCATCTACTCACTCCAGGAACGCGAAGAGCATCAAATCATTCATTCAGGGTCTTGAAAAAGAAGTCCGACCATCTTGTAGGTGGGCAGACAGGCATTCTTTTGACGTCCTGTGGAATCCAGTCAGTAATGGCTCTAGTCCAGTGGTCATCTCTAAATCGCATTACCTGTCCAGCCCATCTGATTTTCAACACCGTGGCAAATGAGGCAGCATCCCTGGTCCTCCATCGTCAATGGAGGTTGGAACTCCGAATTCCTTCTCTCACTTGGGTGAAGCGTAACTTCAAGCAGAGCTCTTTCAATTCCTCTTTGTGAGACCCGAATAGTATTCTTATCCTATTTTCCTAGGGCCCAGGTCTCTTAGGCATATGTTAGTGCAGGAAGAACAGTGGAGTCAAAAAGATGTTCCCAGAGCCAGATGTTTTTTTGTCCTATTAACAACTTCTTTGATGCTCTTGAAGGCGTTCCACACCACTCTCTTCCACCTGCGCAGTTCTGGCACCACGTCGTTTCTCAGGTTGTCATTTGTCATATCAATAAAAGAAAAGATAAAAATCATATGATCATATCAATAGATATAGAGAAAACGTTTCAAAAGATCCAGCAGGCTTTCATGATGAAAACTCTGAACAAAATGGGAGTCAATGGAACTTTCCAAGGTATAGTCAAAACCATCTACCACAAGCGCACAGCAAACATTATTCTCAATGGAAAAAAGTAAAATAATTTCTTATAAAATTAGGGACAGTACAAGTTTTCCCAATTGTATGCAATTGATTACTTGAAGTACTTGTCATAGCAGTCAGGGAAGAAAAAATATTCATGGCATCCGGATAGGAAAGAAAGAAGCTGAACTCGTTTTTTGTAGATGACATGATACTATATTAGATAATCCTGAAACCTCTACCAAAAAGGTCCTTCCTAGAAACAATAGATTTGTATTTGAAGTGACAGTTTACAAAACCAATACCCAAAAGTCCATGGCTTTTCTATATGCAAATAATGAAAGAGAAGAAAGATATATTGTTTCAAAAACAATACTGTTTACAAGTGTGCCTCAGAAAATCAAGTTCCTTGGAATAAGCTTAACTAAGGAGGTAAAGGACATATATTTTAAAGAAATCTATGAAATGCTACCTGGAGAGTACATAAGAAATGAGACACATCCCCTGTTTATGGATTGAGAAAATTAACATTGGCAAAATGTCAGTACTTCCTAAAGCATTATACAGACTCAGTGTGGTCCCTCCAAGGATATTCATGACATTTTTCAAATAAATTGACCAAACATTCCTGAAATTCATATGGAAAACTAAACCCCATAGAATAGCTAAAAGCAATCCTTGGGTAAAAAAGATGAGAGGCATCTCCTTTCCCAACCTGAAGCTGTACTACAAAGCAGTAGTAATTAAAACAACATGATGTTGGAATAAAGACAGATCCGATGAGCAATGGAGTAGAATTGACTATCCTGACACACACCCTCAAATGTACATGATCATTTTATCTTTTATAAGGGAGCAAGAAATGTAAAGTGGAGCAAGGAAAGACTCTAACAAGTGTCCTAGGAAAACTAGACAGCTACACACATATAGAAAAAATAAAATAAAATAAGCCCTCTATTTAAGCCATGCACAAAAGTCAGATCAAAATGGATTATAGACCTTAACATCAGAGTCAAATTCATAAGGTACATGGAACAAAATGTAGGCAAAATTCTCCACAATATTGAAGCTAAAGGCATCTTCAAAGAGGAAATGCCACTGATCAAGCAAGTGGAAGCAAAGACAAAAAATGGGACTGCACTAAACTAAGAAACTTCTAAACCTCTAAAGAAACAGTGACCAAGTTACAGAGAAAGCCCAAGGACTAGGAAAAACTCTTCACACAATACCCATCTGATAAGGGGTTAATATCAAAGATATAAAAGGCCCTTGTAGAATTTCACAAGAAAAAAATCCAACCCTATTAAAAATGGGGAAAGGAAATGAAACAGAAACTTCCTCAAAGAAGAAATTCTAATTGCCAAAAGACACATGAAAAAATGCTCTATGTTACTGATTATCAGAGAGATGAAAATCAAAACAACAATGAGATACCATCTCACATGACAGAGACTGGCACACATATAAAAGAACAATAACAACCAGTGCTGGTGTGAATGTGGGGAAAAATGAACTCTCCTTCACTGTTGGTAGGAATGAAGAAATTATGGTACATCTAGACATAGATACTATGCAACTGTTAGGAAAAATGAAGTCATGAAATTTATAAAATTAGTCAGAAGGAGAGGGGCGTTTGCCTTGCAGGCCGCCGATCTGGCCCACCCAGGTTCAATTCCTCCACCCCTCTCGGAGAGCCTGGCAAGCTACCAAGAGTATTTCACCCTCACAGCAAAGCCTGGCAAGCTACCCGTGACATATTCGATATGCCAAACACAGTAACAAGTGTCACAATGGAGACGTTACTGGGCCCACTCGAGCAAATCGAAGAACAATGGGAGGACAGTGACAGGACAAAGACAGTGACAGTATTATCATTTATTTTGCTTTGAGACTTGAACACATCTATTTGGAAGCTCTTAAGAGCATCTGTTAATGAGTTGGAAAATGTGAATGGTAGAGGGAAAAGGTAAAGAAACAATGATGAGAAAAAGTAAGAATCAGAGAGAACACTTAATACTTTAGAAATTATAGTAAAAATATCCAACTACTATTACTACTAGTTGTCAGTACACAGAAGTGCATTTCTAAGCAACCATGTTATGCCTGATTCTTTTATTTTTCAGCCTTTGTAGTTTTATTTAGGTTCAAAATCTCTACTGGCCTCCAGGTGCTTCCCACAGGATCTGTGCTTGACACCAGTGGTACAGCAAGTGGACCAATCATCCCGCTGGTCTGTATTGTGAATAGGTCACAGTCACAGTCACGGTCCTCCCGTTGTTCATCAATTTACTCTAGCAGGCCCAGTAACAAACATCTCCATCATGAGACTTGTTGTTACTGTGTTTGGCATATCGAATACGTCACGAGTAGCTTGCCAGGCTCTGCCGTGCAGGTGAGATACTCTCGTAGCTTGCCGGGCTCTCCAACAGGGGAGGAGGAATCGAACTCGCGTTGGCCATGTTGACCGCTTGTAAGGCAAACGCCCTACCACTGTGCTATCACTCCAACCCATTGTGAATGGGGGGGATATGAAAAAAAAAAACTCTCTTGTCTAATGAGGTATATACATTGAGCTCTAGGTATTTTCTGGGAAGATTTCTTACATTAACATGTGAGTAACCTTTTAAAATTTCAGCCCATCTATAAGACACTAGTAGAAATTTTTGGAAATTCCTATAATTTTGGGGATACTCTTCCTTAATTTATAACACAGAGGAGTTTGCTTATGATGATGATTTCCCTTTTCTCTAATTTTAAAGTTTCTTTGGGAAATTTTTTTTTTAACTGAGAAGGAAAGGGTCAAAAAGATTAATGCTAAGAATTAAAAACAGGACTACCTCAAGGACAAAACTGAATGCTGATAGAAGTCTATTAAAATAACATATTTCTTAATAATCATTTTGCAGGTGTGGGGGAAATTATTTTGCATGTTTATGAAAATTTAGATTCCAAAATATCTGACTTTCAAGAAAAAAAGTGTTCTCTGAAGATAGCTTTTACATAAAAATCAGGTAACCTATAGTTTAAAGAGAAGTATATTTAAAAATTCTATACTTTTCATCTTTACAAGAGAGGTTAACTAAGTTAAATTCATTATCTTGGGAGTACAACATTTAGTTTTGAGGCCCAGTTTCATAAACTGTTACTAGAAAAAAAATTGCAAAATATGTACTTTCATGCTTCAGTTTCCTCATTTGAACAACAAAATAATTTTATCTGTCTTGTATTCGTTGCACTGTTGTTTTGAGAATAAGGTATAATAACATAATTGGAATCCTTTGTAATTTTTTAAAATTCAATATAAGTCCTTGCACAGGGATCATGCTAATCTTCTCTGTATCATTCTAATTTTAGTATATGTGCAGTCTCGATAGCACAGCCGGTAAGGTGTTTTCCTTGCACATGGCTGACACGGCTGACCCGAGTTCAATTCCTTCGCCCTCTTGGAGAGCCTGGCAAGCTACCGAGAGTATTTCACCCACACGGCAAAGCCTGACAAGCTACCCGTGACTACCTGTGACGTATTTGATATGCCAAACACAGTAACAATTCTCACAATGTTACTGGGCCCACTTGAGCAAATTGATGAAAAATGGGAGGACAGTGAGAGTGACAATATAAATCAATAATCAATTTGCTTCAGATTAAGCAAATTTTTGCAGATACCTACAGCAAGTTTTAGCTTGTAGACCTGGAATTTAATTCTTCTATTTCTGGTTATGGATTCCTGCCAAATATTTGTTTGATATCAGAAATAGAATATTATGCTTTAAAACAAGGCTAGGTTAGTTAGGAACTGAGTTATTAGAATCAGTCATGTATCACATAACTACTGAAGTCTTGTAATTGTACCAGAATACAAAGGTATCTTAGAAGTGAGCTAGACTAGTGGTGAAAGTATTTTAGCTAGGTACACGTTTGTACAAATGAAGTTACTAAAAGCCCCAGTGTTTAAGCAGTGCGAGAGAGACTTCTGAGGCCACAGGTCTGGAGAAGGCCTTCTTGGTTTTCTTTGTGGAAGCCACACTGAGAATCTCCTTCAATACTATGAACATTCTTGTTCAAGCTATATCTTACCCACATGCCTAACTTCAATACTGAGTAAGGGGTGCATTTTTATGTAGAAGCAATTGTGGATTCTGGGGTTTGCCTTACCTGTTCCACCAGGTTTCAGGTCCCTGAGGAGAGAGTTTCCTGCAGCCATTAGACACCGTTCCTTTAGTTTTCCACCAATCCAGATTCATTTCCCTGGTACCTTTGTTCTGCCACCATTGACTTACTGTTTACTCTCCCTCCTAGAATAGGCAGCAAATTCTGATATTCAGTGGTACTCAGTTGTTTGTAATGAATTTCTTGGTGGGACTTAAAATGCCCCCGACTGTGTGCATCTACTGTTGCAATCCTTTTATGGGGGGCAACTCATACCCATTCTCCATTTTAAAAGTTTATGTGGAAACTTTTCAAGTTTCCTTAATTTTTTCTCCAACTTCCTCATCAATATAGCACTGTAGTACTATCCTCTTGTTGTTCACTGATGCTCGAGCAGGCACCAGTAATTCCTCTATTGTGAATTTTTTTGCTATCATTTTTGGCATGTTGAATATGCCACAGGGAGCTTACCAGGCTCTGCCATATGGGCGGGATATTCTCGGTAGCTTGCTGGGCTCTCCGAGCGGGGGAATCAAAGCCAGGTAAGCCGCATGCAAGGTAAACACCCTACTTGCTGTGTTATCGCTCCAGCCCTCATCAATATAGCTACTTCTATATAATTAACAGCTGTGGTACAAATTTGAATCCATAATTCCAGATTTTCTCTCCTCGGTTGATGTTCAGTATGAACATGGGTACCACAAACTTGCATCTCAGATCTTGTCCACTTAGGTAACTTGGTTAAGAGTCATCTCCTAAAGTAAAATTAGGTCAGCAAGAACATATATTGGGTTCTATTTATCTCTAAATGTTAAAAGCCTTGTATTTTATTTATTTATTTTTCTTTTTTTTAATGTAGGAGTACTCCTATTTATTCAGCCACTGATTAGCTGATTGAATTGTGCATGAACTCCACCTTACTTATTATTTCATTATTTATAATTTTATTTATTGAATCACCTTGAGAACAGTTACAGAGCTTTCGGGTCTAAGTCTCGATCATACAATGAAACACCCGTACCTTCACCAGTGCCCAATCTCCACCACCAAAAACCCCATTATGCCCCCTCCCACACCCTCCCCCTACCTGTGGGGCAGATGATTTCCACATTACTCTCTCTCTACTTGATCACATTCAATATTTCGACACCAGATCCACCAATATTATTTGAGATTTTACCCCAACACTCAGATCTGCTGAAAAGGCAACAGTAGACAATTTGTGTTCTATTGCTGGTTATGAATAACATATGATGTCGTGTGGCTGCAGTAGGGCCATGTGATTTTGAAATTCCGAAATTTGAACACTTAAATCTGGAGGGTCAGGGGAATGAGATACATTTTTTTACTGGATTTGGCATATTGAATATACCATGGATAGCTTGCCAGGCTCTGCCATGTGGGTGGGATATTCAAGGTAACCTGACAAATAAATAAACATAAATAAATGCTAACCTGAAAAATAAATAAGGTAAGGTAAGGTAAAGGCCCTCCCATTGATCATCAATTTGCTCGAGTGGGCCCAGTAATGTCTCCATTGGAGACTTTGTTGTTACTGTGTCTGGCATATCGAATACATCACGGGGAGCTTGCCAGGCTCTGCCGTGTGGGCGAGATACTCTCGGTAGCTTGCTGGGCTCTCCAAGAGGGGCGGAGGAATCGAACTTGAATCGGCCATGGTGGCTGCGTGCAAGGCAAACGCCCTACCGCTGTGATATCGCTCCAGCTGGCAAGGCAAACGCCCTACCGCTGTGCTATCGCTCCAGCCGCCAGGGGGAACAGGCCAAGGCACTAAACCTATTCCCACCTGGGTTGGTCCCTGCAGTAGGTTACCAGTGCTGGACACATTTCTGCCAAAAGTCGCTGGGTTTCGAGATTTGTTTCTGAGTCTCTGGGACCATGGCCATTAAGCAGTTCAATCAGGAACCAGAGAGGCCATGCCTCCAATTATATAGCTGAGCCGGAGGTGGTTTGTGGGTGTATTTCCCACATACCTAACTTTTGGCCATTTACTTTCTTGGCTAACTTTCCCCAACTTTTTTGGGTCTGGCCAAAGGCACAACAGCAATTTTTGGGTATCTGAAAGTCTGAAGGCGCCATCAGGCTGCTGATGCACTCACCTCACAGGTACAGATTGACCTGCTGGGGGCACCATACCCCCGTAAAGCCTTGTATTTTAATTAAAGGACAATGCTATAAAATTTCTTATCTACCTATTTTGCTTTCTTTATCCTGACTTTCCTTTACCTCTTTTATTCTTCATTTCTATTTTAATGTCTGTGAATTGCATATTTACTCTCGAATTATTATTAAAGTAGCCCTCTAGGTTGTAATCAGATAAGACCAGAGTTTACCAATACATTTTTAACTGATCTACAAGGTATATCTGAACTCAAAATACTTGGACACCAAGCAAGGATTGTGGAAATGTCTTTAACCTGCTTAAAGAAGCTCTATTCTTTCATAATTATGAGCTCTAGATATAAATAAATTAGCACAGCGGTAGGGCATTTGCCTTGCACGCAGCCAACATGGCCAACCCGAGTTCGATACCTCCGCCCCTCTCGGAGAGCCCGGTAAGCTACCTAGAGTATCTCGCCCGCACGGCAGAGCCTGGCAAGCTCCCTGTGACGTATTCGATATGCCAGATACAGTAACAACAAAGTCTCCAATGGAGATGTTACTGGGCCTGCTCGAGCAAATCGATGAACAACGGGAGGGCCTTTACCTTTTACCTTTAATAAATAAGTACACTTTCAAATTTTCAAAGTTGGAATTTTAGCCTTTCATAATAAAATCATTCAGTAACATTTTAGCACCCCACATGGGGATGTTTTGAACTAATCAAACTCTGGAATTATGCTAAATAATTTAGAAGAGTCGTTGAGTATAGTAGCAGCAGAACAGGACAAAAATTGTGTCCTTTCCAAAGTTTCACATGTTTAAAAATATTTACTCTCGTCTTAAGGATTTTTATCTGAGTCTCCAAGGAATCTGATTTTTTAGACACAAAGGAAGGAAAATAGAAGTAAACAGTTTCTAAAGCATGTACAAAGCTCTGTTTTCTGGGACCATCTTCAATTGTTACCTTGAAATCTGTGCAACAAGTGTTCTTTTTCTTTGGCTTTTATTTCCTCCCTTCCCTCCCCTCCAATCCTTTCCCCTACTTTCCCCTCCCTTCCCCATTCTTCCTCCCCTCTCCTCTCCCTCCCCTCCTCACCTCTTTTCAGAGAGAACTCTTGAGAACTCTTGAGAACTCTTAGTAGGTGGAACAAACAACAGTTTAACCATATTCCTTTTGCTATTGTTTCTCATTTCCTGATCAAACCATGTGAATATTTGGAAACCTCTGAATGGCAATTGTTGCTATCACTTACGGTAATTCTGTATTCTTATCATCAGTAACACCTGCAGCTTCTTATATCTTTACACTCTCCATATTTTAGTACTTTAAATAAACAACCCAATGAGTGGAAGAGCTAAATAAAATATCTCTAATAGTTAAATAGAAGAATAATCTGTCCTTCTCAGGGTTTGGGTAATGTATTAGTCTTCTTTGTGATCTAGATACCCAATCTCTGCACTGAACCCAAAGCAGCAGATGCTCACTGTGGTAAAGAGATGCAGTGTTCTATTATGAACAACATCGCGTGAATATTTAGAATGTACTAGTCTTTAGTCAACAAATTTAGAACTTTTTTGTTGTAACATTACAATAAATCAGAAGGAGTAAAAGGAACAGAAAAATTAGTGGTTAAGAAGAAAAATTGAAAATATTTCTGAAGCTATGTGGAAACATTTTTCATTTGCTTTGTTATCAACAGAATACTATGTGTCTTGAGTAACTTAACTGAAATTTAACTGTTTCCTGAGATGCTACCCTTTACTGTACCTGTGTCTAATACAGATTACCCTGCTTTCTGCTTTCTATTTTGCTTTTCATAATATCAGTTTCCATACCTCTTCTACAGACTTATTAATATAAATTCATTTTGATACTTGAGGTCTTTTTGTGTTCTATTCTACAGTATCACATCACCTTTCCATATTTCTATGTCTTAATTCTAAATTAACAACTACAGGAGGAGCCAATTAAGAAATTAGTCTGTCAAAAGGGATTTGGTATACTGAAGGCTAATTTTCATCCAGTTAAAAAAATAAGACAACAAATGTTGAAGACTATTCTCATGTTCAAGTATGTGCAGAGTTCTGAGCCAAAATCACACAG